TCATGATGGAGTATGATACTCCATATCAGTGGAGTATGATATGCACAAGACGGTTCAACACAGCTAGTTTTCTAAATGTCAAAACCGTACATATCGTTAAATTAAGTTGCATTAGCTTAGGTTAGACGGTGTTAGGTTGGGTTAAGTTAGGATAAGTAAGGTCAAGTAGGTTTTAACATCCACTGGTGAACCGTTGTTGTGTTATTTTAGATTCAGCTACTGGGAACCAAAAGTTCCAAGTAGCACGGGCTATGGTGAGCCCGTAGTGGACTTGCCTGGCACAGGAGCGAGGCTGTAACTGACTGGCGAACCGACTCGTGTACCATATGACTTGTATCCGCACGCGCGCGCGCAAGTGTGTGTATACCTGGGGAGGGAAGGAGTGGGGGAAGCGTCAGAGTAGGTGGCAATCGTCATGGTTAAGAGCACAAGTAGTGCAAGTCTGGTAACGTGCTGCATGTGTTAAGGAAGATATGTGTATGATATATGTCGTACCTAGTAGCCAGAACGCACTTCTCAGCCTACTATGCATGGCCCGATTTGCCTAATAAGCCAAGTTTTCATGACTTAATTGTTTTTCGACTACCTAACCTACCTAACCTAACCTAACCTAACTTTTTCTGCAACCTAACCTATAAAGATAGGTTAGGTTAGGTTAGGGAGGGTTGGTTAGGTTTGGTCATATATCTACGTTAATTTTAACCCCCAATAAAATAAATTGATCTCATATATAATGAAATGGGTAGCTTTATCATTTCATAAGAGAAAAAATAGAGAAAATATATTAATTCAGGAAAACTTGGCTTATTAGGCAAATCGGACCTTGCATAGTAGGCTGAGAAGTGCGTTCTGGCTACTAGGTACGACATATATATATATATATATATATATATATATATATATATAACTGAAAACTCACACCCCAGAAGTGACTCGAATCCATACTCCCAGAAGCAACGCAACTGGCATGTACAAGACGCCTTAATCCACTTGACCATCACGACCGGACAAAATGAGGTGATAGCCGAGGCCATTTGAACCACCCCACCGCCGGCACTCGGATAGTAATCTTGTGCATAGCATTCCACCAAATCACCCCACTCTTTGGGGCACACGTGAGGAACACAAATGCGAACAAGCCCGAATGGTCCCCAGGACAATATGCAACTGAAAACTCACACCCCAGAAGTGACTCGAACCCATACTCCCAGAAGCAACGCAACTGGCATGTACAAGACGCCTTAATCCACTTGACCATCACGACCGGACAAAATGAGGTGATAGCCGAGGCCATTTGAACCACCCCACCGCCGGCACTCGGATAGTAATCTTGGGCATAGCATTCCACCAAATCACCCCACTCTTTGGGGCACACGTGAGGAACACAAATGCGAACAAGCCCGAATGGTCCCCAGGACAATATGCAACTGAAAACTCACACCCCAGAAGTGACTCGAACCCATACTCCCAGAAGCAACGCAACTGGCATGTACAAGACGCCTTAATCCACTTGACCATCACGACCGGACAAAATGAGGTGATAGCCGAGGCCATTTGAACCACCCCACCGCCGGCACTCGGATAGTAATCTTGGGCATAGCATTCCACCAAATCACCCCACTCTTTGGGGCACACGTGAGGAACACAAATGCGAACAAGCCCGAATGGTCCCCAGGACAATATGCAACTGAAAACTCACACCCCAGAAGTGACTCGAACCCATACTCCCAGAAGCAACGCAACTGGCATGTACAAGACGCCTTAATCCACTTGACCATCACGACCGGACAAAATGAGGTGATAGCCGAGGCCATTTGAACCACCCCACCGCCGGCACTCGGATAGTAATCTTGGGCATAGCATTCCACCAAATCACCCCACTCTTTGGGGCACACGTGAGGAACACAAATGCGAACAAGCCCGAATGGTCCCCAGGACAATATGCAACTGAAAACTCACACCCCAGAAGTGACTCGAACCCATACTCCCAGAAGCAACGCAACTGGCATGTACAAGACGCCTTAATCCACTTGACCATCACGACCGGACAAAATGAGGTGATAGCCGAGGCCATTTGAACCACCCCACCGCCGGCACTCGGATAGTAATCTTGGGCATAGCATTCCACCAAATCACCCCACTCTTTGGGGCACACGTGAGGAACACAAATGCGAACAAGCCCGAATGGTCCCCAGGACAATATGCAACTGAAAACTCACACCCCAGAAGTGACTCGAACCCATACTCCCAGAAGCAACGCAACTGGCATGTACAAGACGCCTTAATCCACTTGACCATCACGACCGGACAAACACGGTCGACGTATGCGTTAACAACACTAGTGTTGTTAACGCATACGTCGACCGTGCTCTCAGCCACAGCTCAGAATGGAAGCAAGTCGACGAAGAACTCTGTAGGGTAAGGCAGGTCCTAGTCAATAACGGCTTCTCCAATGGTTTCATCGAAGACATCATAAGAAGGAAAGTGAAAAGCCATGCAACCTCTGAAGAGACAACTAACACAACACCTATACCCCCTATTAGACTATTTTACAGGAACTTCTTTTCCACAGCTCATAAAACGGAGGAAAGGGTCCTGAAAGATATTGTTAATAGAAACGTTATCCCTACAGACAAAAATCAGAGGATACAACTGACGATTTACTATAAAACCAGAAAAACGGCCAGCCTACTCATGAGAAACTCTCCAGACACAAAACAGAACGCTTTAAAAGAGACTAATGTCGTCTATGCCTTCAAATGCCCACTTGGGGACTGTAAGCTCCAAAAAACCCAGTATATAGGCAAGACAACATCTCTTTCTAGGCGTTTAACGACGCATAAGCAACAGGGCTCCATTAAGGAACATATAATCTCTTCCCATAACCAAACCATCGCCAGAGAAATCCTAGTAAACAACACAGAAATCATCGATAGATACAGCGATAGCAGGCGGCTTGACGTTTGCGAGGCACTACACATCAAGAAGTCAACACCAGCAATCAACAGCCAATTATTGCACAACTATATTCTACCCACCTCAAGACTCCGCTCCAATATAGAAGCATCAAGAAATATGGACCAATAGGCTTTCTACAAACACTTCTATTCAATACCCATTGTTTCTGTTCTGTCTTGTGTTGATACTTTTAATACCCTATTAATATCCCCTCTTGTTCTGTCTTGTGTTAATGCCACATCACCCCTCCCACCTCACTCAAATGTAGATATAAAATCAGAGATACGTTCTAATCAGTTGTGTATTTGTGAAGTCTTTGAAAATGTAATAAGTTTTACGAAACGCGCCCGTGTCGCGTCAGACTAGAAATAAAAATGAATTTTGGAGAAGTGATTTTTGATTTACCTCCAACAGTGAAGCGTAATGTACGAAAGATTGAGAAAATTCGTGTTAGAATTATTAATCTTACTTTTTCGGTCATATTTAATAATATATATATATATATATATATATATATATATATATATATATATATATATATATATATATATATATATATATATATATGTCGTACCTAGTAGCCAGAACGCACTTCTCAGCCTACTATGCAAGGCCCAATTTGCCTAATAAGCCAAGTTTTCAATTGTTTTTCGACTACCTAACCTACCTAACCTAACCTAACCTAACATTTTCGGCTACCTAACCTAACCTATAAAGATAGGTTAGGTTAGGTTAGGTAGGGTTGGTTAGGTTCGGTCATATATCTACGTTAATTTTAACTCCAATAGAAAAAAAATGACCTCATACTTAATGAAATGGGTAGCTTTATCATTTCATAAGAAAAAAATTAGAGAATATATATTAATTCTGGAAAAGTTGGCTTATTAGGCAAATCGGGCCTTGCATAGTAGACTGAGAAGTGCGTTCTGGCTACTAGGTACGACATATATATATATATATATATATATATATATATATATATATGCCTATACTTGCATAAACCACAAGTGAAGATAAACAATCTTTGGACAACACCCACCAGTGGGACTCGAACCCAGAAAGCACAACTACCTTCCAGTAGCTGGCATAACTAGTATGCTAGTTATGCCAGCTGGCGTAGTGGGTTAAAGCATACTAGTTATGCCAGCTACTGGAAGGTAGTTGTGCTTTCTGGGTTCGAGTCCCACTGGTGGGTGTTGTCCAAAGATTATATATATATATATATATATATATATATATATATATATATATATATATATATATATATATAAAACGTTGTACTGAAGGAGGGTGAGAATAGCTTGAGTTACCTCATCCCTTTGTGTGTATTTATACCTTAGTAAACTTATTTCAATTTCAAATCAATTTCAGTAGTGCAATGATGCGTGTATAAGCTGACGGTTAGCTTTCCTTACTCTGTCTTCCTATCAGACGTATTGGTAAGACCATTCAAATTATGACAAATATTTTGCTAATTTAAGTTTGATCACTTTAATTATAAGTTATAGGTTTTACGATTGTACATCTGTTCAGTTCAGCCACAACTGTAATGATTTGTATAAATCAGGTACGGATAAATCTTCTAAATCTAAATGATGTCTTCCCTGCCAGAAGTAGGGTTGTTGTGTATTTATCTTCTTTCCAGCTACACATAAGACCATTGTTTTATTTACTTTCCTGCTTCCCCTGCCAAACGTACAACTATTATGTTTATACCTATTACATGGTACCCGTGCCAGATGTACTTCTACTGTGTAGAAGTACATCTACTCTAGCTCTATCTATATAAATTCATCAAAATCTGTATCACCCCTTGTATGTATGTACTTTACCTAAATAAACATTTGATTTTGATTTGATTTGTGTATTTGTATTTTGTCAGACATAAGACTGTTAATCATCTTTCTTCCCCACTCTTCCTGTCAAACATAAAGAGATAATTTCCTTCTTTACCAAACCTACAGTCGCTGTTGGACAACCTCCCCAGTTCTCTCTGCCAGAAGAATGACCATTATTGTTTACTTTCCTCCTCCTCCTTCCAGACGTACGACCAGTGACTCCGCCGGAGGACGAGAGAGATCACAAAGACATTTGGATTGACGGGGAGGAGTTCAAGGCAGAGAGGATGATCAAGGTGGGCAACACGGATCTCCTCTCGAGATTGTTCGACTCCGTGGAGCAGATTGACAAGAAGAGGGTCACGGTCGTCAGGAGAGGAAGGTAGAGTCACCACTGAGACTGTCTTGTGAGGTGTGGCACCCATACATTGTTAACTGACTGTTTAAATGAACAAATCCACAAGGTCCGTGACGAGGATTCGAACCTGCGTCCGAGAGCATCCCAGACGCTGCCTTATTCATTTGATTCATTTGATGCATCACGCAATTGTGATTTCTGTGTGTAACTGACTGTTTAGTTTATTTATTATGCACATAATGGGCATAATGAGCTCGGGAACTGAATTCCAAAACACGTTGAACTAAGCAGGGTTACACCATTGATGAACTATTTACAAATGTAATATGTACCAGAGCTCAAACTCGACTCAATACCACTTTTTAAATGAAAATTGACGCTAATAATAGTAGTATACAACTATAAAAGCAATTAATAATATATGCAGTGTCCTTATTTTGACATTATCGATGAGGAAGCAAAAGGTAAATGTCATCAATGTGATGATTTATTTTATTTCTAAACAAGATGCATTACTAATAATTGTGCTGTGGCGTCAACGTACAACACAGACGAGGTTAGGTACAAAATCACACAACGCTTACAGATTACCTCTTGTCACTCCAGCTCACGCTATACTTGACTAGGTTTCCTTATCTCTGCCGTAAGCTAGTACCGCAGAATGATTATACCGATACAATCTCGATCCACTGAAGGGGTTTGTGTGTCGTGACCGAGATGTTTATCACCATGAAGTATCACGACCGGACGAGTTTGTCGTGTCGGGAATACCTGACGCCCTTCTAAATATCTGTCCGGAAGGTCATTCATTCAGACAGCGCGCCGCCTCCAGACAGTCTGCCAATTGGGGTCAGTGTCCTGCCGTCCTTGCATGCAGCGTGCACCCAAGCGGTCTGTGTCCTCAGCCACCCTCGCCTACTCTCCATATTGAGCCGTGGCACAGGTGATACACACGTGTCTGCCCTTTAAATATATCAACACAAGATAGACTACCAGACAATAAATGCGAACTGGATAAATTTAGATCTGTAAATTACTGGCTTTGTAAATAGGGTTGTTGATTTACAGAGCACGTTGCCAGGTGACAAACAGCCGTGGCGTTGCTGGCTAGTTTCAACCATACATATAAGAGCTTATTGAATATTAATTGGAACTGCCTAGCATCAGTCAATATGCATTCTGCTGTTACCTCGGTTATGTTCTTATCCTTAAAACAATGGTCAAATTCTCCTTAACTCAACAACCGTTAATGAATGAAAAAAACACTACGCACACAGTTCGTTCTTAGGCTATACGCGTGCGCTAAACCCGCAGCCAAATACGCATTTATAAACTTTCACGTACTCGCTTTAAAATTTATATTTTTCCAAATATTAAATAATATTAATGTTTCTTTATTAAGTTTGACCAAGGTTACGTTAGAAACTTTGCTTCTGATGTCTATTATATGTACTTGCAATAAGTAGGTGAAGTATTTACAACACAACTCGTCCCAACCCGTCCTCAGACCAAGTCCATTCCATCCAACGGTCGACCCCAAAGTCGCATTCATAAATTTTAACATGCTGTTCATTCAAAACAGGAATTTTCTTAAATATAAATTATTACCCCATTGTACATATTTAGCCCCTGGTTAGGTTAGGTGTTTAGTTCCTTTTGGCGAATATTTGTATTTGTAATACGTGGGTGAAGCATTTACAGCGTTGAGGTTAGAATAAAACTCGTCAGTGAAACACTTGTTCCGGAAGTGTTCGAACGTCATCAGTTGTAAGTCGTGTGTAAACCGTTTTTCATTCATAAACAGCGGGTTTGGCGGGTGGATGGAATCACTTTTGGATCGTTGTTTGGAGGACGGGCTTGGGCTGGACGGTAGAGCGACGGTCTCGCTTCATGCAGATCAGCGTTCAATTCCAGACCGTCCAAGTGGTTGGGCACCATTACTTTCCCCCGTCCCATCCCAAATTCTTATCCTGACCCCTTCCTAGTGCCATATAGTGTTTAATGGTTTGGAGCTTTCCCCCTGATATTTCCGTTCCGTTGGAGGACGCGTTGCTATAAATGCTACACCCACGCACTTCAAATACAAATAATCACCAACAGAACCTAAACACATAGCCTAACCTATATCTAACTATACATAGAACTTTAATATATAACATCAATTTATGAGAAGAAATCCATTTTTACAGTACGTAAAAATGATTGAACGCGTCTTAAGGGACGCTGCTTTAACGAACCTGCCCTGAGGACAGATCGCTACGGGAGACGTGAAGATTTAAACCATATCATTTAAACAACATATATTATCCACTGCTAAAAATTATTTTAATAATATTATTAGTTGAACAAAGTAAAATCCTATAGCATTATAAAACAATTGAATTATTAATTATGTAAATATCTGGTTAATTACAGTGCTATAGACAACATCATACTTGCAAATTATATAATGCACATTATACTAACGTAGTTCTCGAAAATACGTAGCTGATAATTATATATAATAAAAATGTAAATTATGTTAGTGTTAAGGCACTTCTTGAATATCTTAATTTGAATCACAGATCAAATCGTAAGTGTTTTTCATAATATACTTTGTACAGTTATTTCTTGTCAAATTCAATATTTTCAGTTATCTTGCATTATAGAAACCTTAGGCGACCTCTGATCTGTTGTTTAAAGTTAGGTTAGGGTATTAGGTGTTAAGGGTTTAAGTTTAGCTACAGTCTGGGTTATTAAGGTCACAACCTGCCTTCTTTCTTGCCTTCAAGAATACTTTAATTCCAAAGAACTGTAACTTTCAGTGGGCGCATAGGATTGGGAACTGTACCTTTCAGTGGGTGCATAGGATTGGGAACTGTACCTTTCAGTGGGTGCATAGGATTGGGAACTGTACCTTTCAGTGGGTGCATAGGATTGGGAACTGTACCTTTCAGTGGGCGCATAGGATTGGGAACTGTACCTTTCAGTGGGTGTATACGCTTGGCAAGTGTACCTTTCAGTGGGTGTATACGCCTGGCAAGTGTACCTTTCAGTGGGTGTATACGCTCGGCAAGTGTACCTTTCAGTGGGTGTATACGCTTGGCAAGTGTACCTTTCAGTGGGCGCAAAGGATTGGGAACTGTACATTTCAGTGGGTGTATACGCTTGGCAAGTGTACCTTTCAGTGGGTGTATACGCCTGGCAAGTGTACCTTTCAGTGCGTGTATATGCTTGGCAAGTGTACCTTTCAGTGGGTGTATACGCTCGGCAAGTGTACCTTTCAGTGCGTGTATACGCCTGGCAAGTGTATCTTTCAGTGGGTGTATACGCCTGAGAACTGCACCTTTCACTAGCAACTTGATATCCTTTGTTTAACGTCAAGGGTAGCGAAGCAGTGCACTAACTACATTACCACCACACTAACTCGAGTTCGTCATAACTTGCATTTTCCACCCTAACCCAAATTGCACCCTAACTTAACCTAATAAAACCAACACTTCCAACCGCAGGAACACAACAACGCACTCTACCAACGGAAAGACCCCCCCCCCCAATCCCCAAACCCGCAGCTGGCAACACTGCACAACCATCATCAACAATCTACCCAATATAGCATTTTTCCCCTCAACTAGGTTTTTAAGAGGGAAGTAGCACCTTGACACCGTTGTTCTGCGGTGCTCATGCTCGACAATAAAGACTAATTATGCAACTGACAATCAATAATTGTAAACACACTGAGGTCACTACCCGCCAAATCTACCCGGAAAAAGTTTGTACTGCATGCACGCACCTCTCCCCATTACTTCCCATTATGACCGCGCTACCAAGTGCACGATTAAATTATGAAATGCCAATTATAATATATATTTAAGTGTATTTTTAGATAATTATATACTTAAGCTAGGATTTCTATATATTTCAGTTTTATCTTGATTTAGTGATGAGTACGGGATAGAAATCGTAATTGGATTTTTATACTAATGAGTTTACACAAAATAATTATAAATACATAAACATAATTAACCAAAAATATTAAAATAATTAAAACCTGTTTTTCCGGGATATCCTGACTGATTATTTCCATTCGTGCTTCAGTGCACATTACACTGATCATGAGTTTTATTATTTATTATGAACCCGCATCATATGCATGTTTACAACCCTCGGAGTAGCCTAATAGCACCCGGCGCACAGGGCGCTGCGTAAATCCTCCAGGCGCACTAAATCCTCCCGACGCACAGGGCGCTGCGTAAATCCTCCCGGCGCACAGGGCGCTGTGTAAATCCTCCCGGCGCACAGGGCGCTGTGTAAATCCTCCCGGCGCACTGGGTGCTGTATAAATCCTCCCAGCGCACTGGGCGCTGTGTAAATCCTCCCAGCGCACTGGGCGCTGTGTAAATCCTCCCGGCGCACAGGGCGGTGCGTAAATCCTCCCGGCGCACAGGGCGGTGCATAAATCCTCCCGGGGCTGCTCTAGGTATAGGCTATATATTAAATATTTAATAAAAGGATGGATATTTGAGGCTTGAATATTTTAATTGATACCGTCAGGTGGGACCAGTGACTCAAGAAAGTGAGATATAATAGTTTAGCTATCATTCACGATTCATACAATTATATTTCGAACAATATAGCTGCATATAGGCTATAAATGCAGCTAGAGGAAGTAAACGGCTGTGTCCGGGTCTCTTTCTCCCATCTCTTCCCCTTGTCCCCCGTCTCCACCTTTCTCTACTAACACCCGCTCTCTCCCCATCTTTTTTCTCCCCATCTTTTTTCTCCCCTAATATTTTCCCTCTCACTTCTTTCCTCTTTCCCCTCTCCCCTTCCCTCTCTTCAAACATTGCCCCCTCTCCCCGTTATCCTTCGCTCTCTTCCCCTTCCGTTCCTCACTGAATAAAAATACTGTATAATAATTTTTTTTATTAAGAAATGAGGTACATCTGCATTAGTGCAGCTACCCTAGACTATATGAAGTGGAGTAGTGTGTCAAAAAGCGCTAAAACTGACAAATAAGTCTACGGACATCACACCTAATATTT